CAAACCTACAGCCAGCATTATACTTAACGGAGAAAAATTAAAACCATTCCCTCTAAAATCAGGAACCAGACAAGGATGCCCACTATCTCCACTCCTATTCAACATAGTACTGGAATTCCTAGCCAGAGCAATTAGGCAAGAAGAAGGAATAAAAGGAATACAAATAGGTAAAGAAACTGTCAAAATATCCCTATTTGCAGATGACATGATCCTATACCTTAAAGACCCAAAAAACTCTACTCAGAAGCTTCTAGACATCATCAATAGCTATAGCAAGGTAGCAGGATATAAAATCAACATAGAAAAATCATTAGCATTTCTATACACTAACAATGAGCAAATGGAAAAAGAATGTATGAAAACAATTCCATTTACAATAGCCTCAAAAAAATCAAATACCTAGGTGTAAACCTAACAAAAGATGTGAAGACCTCTACAAGGAAACTATAACTTCTGAAGAAAGAGATTGAGGAAGACTATAGAAAGTGGAGAGATCTCCCATGCTCATGGATTGGTAGAATCAACATAGTAAAAATGTCTATACTCCCAAAGTAATCTACATGTTTAATGCAATTCCCATCAAAATTCCAATGACATTCATTAAAGAGATTGAAAAATCTACTGTTAAATTTATATGGAAACACAAGAGGCCACGAATAGCCAAGGCAATACTCAGTCAAAAGAACAATGCAGGAGGTATCACAATACCTGACTTCAAACTATATTACAAAGCAATAACAATAAAAACAGCATGGTACTGGCACAAAAACAGACATGAAGACCAGTGGAACAGAATAGAGGATCCAGATATGAAGCCACACAACTATAAGCAACTTATCTTTGACAAAGGAGCTAAAAATATACGATGGAGAAATAGCAGCCTCTTCAACAAAAACTGCTGGGAAAACTGGTTAGCAGTCTGCAAAAAACTGAAACTAGATCCATGTATATCACCCTATACCAAGATTAACTCAAAATGGATCAAGGATCTTAATATCAGACCCCAAACTCTTAAGTTGATACAGAAAGAGTAGGAAATACTCTGGAGTTAGTAGGTATAGGTAAGAACTTTCTCAATGAAACCCCAGCAGCACAGCAACTAAGAGATAGCATAGATAAATGGGACCTCATAAAACTAAAAAGCTTCTGTTCATCAAAAGAAATGGTCTCTAAACTGAAGAGAACACCCACAGAGTGGGAGAAAATATTTGCCAACTATACATCAGACAAAGGACTGATAACCAGAATATATAGGGAACTTAAAAAACTAAATTCTCCCAAAACTAATGAACCAATAAAGAAATGGGCAAGTGAACTAAACAGAACTTTCTCAAAAGAAGAAATTCAAATGGCCAAAAACACATGAAAAAATGCTCACCATCTCTAGCAATAAAGGAAATGCAAATTAAAACCACACTAAGATTCCACCTCACCCCTGTTAGAATAGCCATCATCAGCAACACCACCAACAACAGGTGTTGGCGAGGATGCGGGGAAAAAGGAACCCTCTTACACTGTTGGTGGGAATGTAGACTAGTACAACCACTCTGGAAAAAAATTTGGAGGCTACTTAAAAAGCTGACATCGATCTACCATTTGATCCAGCAATACCACTCTTGGGGATATACCCAAAAGACTGTTACTCCAGAGGCACCTGCACATCCATGTTTATTGCGGCACTATTCACAATAGCCAAGTTATGGAAACAGCCAAGATGCCCCACACTGACGAATGGATTAAGAAAATGTGGTATCTATACACAATGGAATTTTATGCAGCCATGAAGAAGAACGAAATGTTATCATTCGCTGGTAAATGGATGGAATTGGAGAACATCATTCTGAGTGAGGTTAGCCTGGCCCAAAAGACCAAAAATCGTATGTTCTCCCTCATACGTGGACATTAGATCAAGGGCAAACACAACAAGGGGATTGGACTATGAGCACATGATAAACGCGAGAGCACACAAGGGAGGGGTGAGGATAGGTAAGACACCTAAAAAACTAGCTAGCATTTGTTGCCCTTAATGCAGAGAAATAAAGCAGATACCTTAAAGCAACTGAGGCCAATAGGAAAAGGGGACCAGGAACTAGAGAAAAGGTTAGATCAAAAAGAATTAACCTAGAAGGTAACACCCACGCACAGGAAATCAATGTGAGTCAATGCCCTGTATAGCTATCCTTATCTCAACCAGCAAAACCCCTTGTTCCTTCCTATTATTGCTTATACTCTCTCTACAACAAAATTAGAGATAAGGGCAAAATAGTTTCTGCTGGGTATTGAGGGGGGGGAGCGGGAGGGGGTGGAGTGGGTGGTAAGGGAGGGGGTGGGGGCAGGGGGGAGAAATGAACCAAGCCTTGTATGCACATATGAATAATAAAAGAAAAATGAAAAAAAAAAGTTATATTTTTAGTTAACAAACTGATTTTTAATATGACTTAAAGCAATTTCAGAATAAGCACTTAAGAAACATTTTGAACAATGGATTACATTTATAAGTAATTTCTTTGAAGTACAACCCTACTTGGCCAAATAGTGTTTGTTTGCAATCAATCTTGTATTATATTTGATATCTTGATTTACTGAATAAATTGGCACCTGAATAGAAAATAAGACATGCACATTTTTCTTCAAAGTATATACCAGAGTATAAATATCTAAAGCTTAAACTATAATGGGAATAAAAAGAAAGCAGTACAAAATGGATGTATTTCTGTGAAAAGTATTGGTAAATGGGTTCCTAAGATCTCTTGGTGACTCTGGCCACTTAGTTAATAAATGTTAGTTTTATATCCTGAGTCACAATGGTCCTATATGTGGTGGCACATCCAAATATTCTTTTAGTTTGTCCATAGAGTTACTCAGCTCCTCTTTGTTCATCCAAACTTTGAGCCTCAGGGAATTTTCAGTAATGATATCCATACATATATCTGTAGTTCATCGGCAGGAAAATATAATAGGTTAAGATAACCCCACAGCTCTCATCTCCCTATAGCTCACATCTTATAACAGGATGTACTAATTTGTTGGGGGGGGGGGCACTGGAGTTTAAACTCAGGGCTTCACACTTGCTAGACAGGTAATCTACTAGTTGAGCCAATCTATAGCCCTTTTTTTGTGTTGGGTATTTTCGAAATAGGGTCTATTTCCCTGGGCTGAATTTGAACCATGATCCTTCTGATCTCTGCCTTCTGGGTAACAAGGATTGCAGGTAAAGCCTCCTAATTACTGGGATTATAGGTCTGAACCACCACATCTGGCTGATTTTTTTGTTTTCTGAGATGATACTAACCTTAACTCCATCTACCCTTACTCAGAACAAAAAAAAATTGGACAAAAACCAGCATTGCTAGTATTCAAAATCTTACATGTATTTTATATGTATAGCACACTTCAATTAGAATGCTAAATTTTAACTGGAAATACTTGTTTTTTTATTCAGAAGAGGGGCAGGCAAGACTTAGGGAAAGTCTGGGACTCTTAGAACATATATGACTTACTGTATTTCAGGTTAAACATTCTTCTCTTTCTCTGAACCTTCTCAGTTGTAATATGTGTAGGTTATTCACACCCTAGCTCAGGGACGACCCATGTCCCTCCCCAAATTCATGAATTACTGATTAGGAATCGTCCCTTCCCATTAGTTAAAGTAAGTTTTAAAGCACCTAGAAAACAAAAAGATAGATACTTTCTCTACTTCCAGCTTCCATTGAATCCCACCAGGGCCTATTGTAATTCCCCTCCCACTTTTTCCTTCCTCCCTTTCTCCCTCCTTTCCTTCCTCCCTCCCTCCCTCCCTCCCTTCATTCCTTCATTCCTGGGGTTTTAAAGCAGGGCCTACACCTTGAGCTACTCCACCAGCCCTTTTTTAGTGATGGGTGTTTTGGAGATAGGGTCTCTCAGTTTCCCCAGGGCTGACTTGAAACCCCCATCCTCCTCATCTCTGCCTCCTGAGAGCCCGGCTACCCCTCCCTAACTTTTAATAAATTCCATTGGATTCTTCCACGTGGGACACAAAGGATTTGGAAATCTGATTAGAGACTGAATCATTGACATTAACACCTTGGCCTTGGGAATTCACTCAGCCTTCAAAAAGCTTCAGTTCTGTGGAGTGGGGGTGGGGTAGGGGCACAGTCAACTGCTGGCAAAATTAGACGCAAAAAACAAACTACTAGTTTTTCCCTTCATAGTAGAGGGAGTGGATTCATTGCACCAGTTTATAATAAAAATCAGAAAGAGCCTAAATATCTTCAACATAAGAACAGTTACATAAATTCAATGAACCCATACTCTGTAGGCACAGAGTAACAATTATTATTAAGCACCAAGATTTTTTAAAACCTACATAATATTACGAACAGTAGGCCTGTGTGCACAAGGAAAACCTAGGATGGCCGCCTAGCTAGGATGTCAGCAGCAGCAACAGGGTGGAGGGGCGGAGCGGGGAGGCGGGCATGCAGCTGGAACAAGCTGCGGTTTTTCTTTCTAGGCAATTTCCAAGAATTTTTTTTTTCCTAAAAAGGGAGGTATTTTGTACTTGAAGGACCAGCTCTAAAATATGCTTTGAAACCAATACACTTTTGCCGCACAACCTGGAATGTAATTTTAAGTGTAAATACATAGTACTAAAGAGAAACGGCTGTGGAAAACGCACGTAGCACGTAGTCCTTAAATCCGCTTTCGGTTGGCGGTTTCCCGCGGGTAGAACGCCAACCAAACGGCCGATGACGTCAAGAGAGGCCGACACTCCTGGTTGCCATGGTAAAGTCCCTGCGGCCATTTTTACTGTGGTCAATTCAAACTGATCCTGTCCCGGCGGGAGCGGCGGGAAGCCACGAAAAGCCTGAATTATAAGAGATGAGAGCGCAATCACGCGTATTAATAATAAGCCGCTGACAGAACCACAGAAGACCCTGGGCCTTAAACGTTAGTGAAGTTAATGCGCGGTTGAGACGCGGCTTCTGCAGCAAAGCGGAACTACTCAAATGGATCGCTAATGTTTCTATCCGGACTTTGACAGACGCTTCCGTTGCTCAGCGGAAGTGTGGGTCGCAAGAGGACGATGCTTAGAAGAATCCGCTAGCGGCTGGGTGCACAACCGGAATCATGTCGAGTTTGGCGGTGAGAGACCCGGCAATGGATCGATCACTGCGTTCGGTGTTCGTGGGGAACATTCCGTATGAGGCAACTGAGGAGCAGCTGAAGGACATTTTCTCCGAGGTTGGTTCTGTTGTCAGTTTCCGGCTGGTGTATGATAGAGAGACGGGAAAGCCCAAGGGTTATGGCTTCTGCGAGTACCAAGACCAGGAGACCGCGCTTAGCGCCATGCGGAACCTCAATGGGCGGGAGTTCAGTGGGAGAGCGCTGCGGGTGGACAATGCTGCCAGTGAAAAAAATAAGGAGGAGCTAAAGAGTCTGGGGCCCGCAGCTCCCATCATTGATTCACCCTATGGCGACCCCATCGATCCAGAAGATGCCCCCGAATCGATTACCAGAGCAGTCGCTAGTCTTCCCCCGGAGCAGATGTTTGAGCTGATGAAACAGATGAAGCTCTGTGTGCAAAACAGTCACCAGGAAGCTCGAAATATGTTGCTTCAAAACCCACAACTGGCTTATGCGCTGCTTCAGGCACAAGTAGTGATGAGGATCATGGACCCTGAGATTGCTCTGAAAATTCTTCATCGAAAGATACATGTCACACCACTGATCCCAGGCAAATCTCAGTCCGTCTCCGGCCCTGGCCCTGGCCCTGGCCCTGGCCCCGGCCCCGGCCCCGGCCCCGGCCCCGGCCCCGGCCCCGGGCTTTGCCCAGGACCTAATGTTATGCTGAACCAACAGAATCCTCCAGCCCCTCAGCCTCAGCATTTGGCCAGAAGACCCGTGAAGGACATTCCACCGCTGATGCAGACTCCTATCCAGGGTGGGATTCCAGCTCCCGGACCAATGCCAGCTGCAGTTCCTGGACCTGGCCCCGGTTCCTTAACTCCTGGAGGAGTAATGCAACCACAAGTTGGAATGCCAGGGGTGGGCCCAGTGCCTTTAGAGCGTGGACAAGTCCAAATGTCAGATCCTAGAGCTCCTATACCTCGTGGACCCATGACTGCTGGCGGCCTACCTCCTCGAGGACTGTTAGGAGATGCTCCAAATGACCCACGTGGAGGGACTTTGCTTTCAGTTACTGGAGAAGTAGAACCCAGAGGTTATCTGGGTCCACCCCATCAGGGTCCTCCAATGCACCATGCCTCTGGTCATGACAGCCGAGGCCCTTCACATGATATGAGGGGAGGGCCAATGGCAGATCCCAGACTGCTAATTGGAGAGCCCAGGGGACCCATGATAGATCAAAGGGGTATACCTATGGATGGTAGAGGAGGTAGAGAATCTCGAGGGATGGAGACACGAGCCATGGAAACTGAGGTCTTAGACACACGAGTGATGGATAGAAGAGGGATGGAGACCTGTGCAATGGAAACCAGAGGAATGGAAGCGAGGGGCATGGATGCAAGAGGATTAGAGATGAGGGGCCCTGGCCCGACTTCCAGAGGACCTATGACTGGTGGAATCCAGGGTCCTGGTCCCATTAACATAGGGGCAAGTGGCTCTCAGGCACCTAGACAGGTTGCAAGCATTTCAGGAGTAGGAAATCCAGGAGGTGGCATGCAGGGGGCAGGTATACAAGCAGCAGGCATGCAAGGAGGAGGAATGCAGGGGGCAGGCATGCAAGGAGTGAGCATGCAAGGAGCGGGCATGCAGGGGGCAAGTAAGCAAGTTGGAGGCCAGCCTAGCAGCTTTAGTCCTGGGCAAAGCCAGGTAACTCCACAAGATCAAGAAAAAGCAGCCTTGATCATGCAGGTTCTTCAACTGACTGCAGATCAAATTGCCATGTTGCCTCCTGAGCAAAGGCAGAGTATTCTGATTTTAAAGGAACAAATCCAGAAATCCACTGGAGCTTCTTAAAAGGTTTTAGAAAATACTTGGTTGTAGTCTCAGAAAGTTTATCTTGTAGCATGTAGAATGAATGGGTGCATAAAGGTGAATTCTGCATCCCTACACTTTAATGATTAGGGTTTTCCTCTTACTGAACATAATCTCATCTTGTCCTTTCATTTTTCTGATTTCCTTTATTTTTAATTGAGGGGAGGGGAAAGGGGAATGGATCTGTTTAACTCATTGTTAATCTACAAAAATAACTCTGACTGTGATTATACCAACTAAGAATATAAAGAATATACAGCAATATTAAAGTGTACAATATGCAAACTACATTTTAAAAAGTTTGAGTAAACTGAAAACTGCACTAAAGACTGAAAGGCAGTCTGTTAAAATGTTAATGTACTAAGATAATGTTAAGATTTTTGGTTGTATAACAAAGTTTACCTCAAAATTTTAAGATATATTTTTTGGTAAACAATTCAAAATACAAAATCCTGCTTTGGAAGCAGTAGAGTGATATGTTAGGTCAAACATCGTTTTAGTGGTTTTGGAATTACTTAGAGCTAACAGGTGTTAGATATGTGGTGTTAGAGGGTTTTTTTTTTTGTTTTGTTTTGTTTTTTAAACTATGTTACCTGAAAAACAACTGGTTTGATATTGCTTCATTTATCTGACTCTTCAGAGACCAGCAGTATTCTGGCCTGGCCATGATTGATGATTTTGCTGGGAAAGTCGTAGGATCAACCTGGTTACTTAAAGTCTCCTCTGGTGAGACCTAAATAATCTCTTAATACCTTTCTATTTCTCAAATATCAGTAAGCCATAAATATGAATGTGACCAGTCCTCTCACATCCTTCCCAAGAATCAGTGTTGAGCGACCATTTGATCTGCATGAGTTACATGCAGCATTGGACTTTTCAGAAATAGTGGGAGGTTTTATTCAGTAAAGCCCCCAGTTTGTTGGTAACCAGCTTCTGTACACAGGTGGAATCCATTTGGTCCACAAGAATCAAGAGTTAAAAATCTTAGTCTTAAATATTTAACATACCTTTTAGTTTTCATATTTCATAAATCATTATCTTACCAGAATTGAGGCCCAGGTGGCAGAGAAATTCCTATAGACTCTGCTTAGTTTATTTATTACTCATTTTATTTGTTAAAAATAATAAGAACCATTTAGTCCTTATATACCCATGAGGTATTTAAAATCAGTAGGAAAATGGGGCTTATCCAATTTCCTTTAAAACTACTACATAATACTACATAATTTATTTTAAGCTTTGAGAATGGATACATTGTACCTTACTCCAAATGGTAATTAAGAAAAGCATAAACTCCCAGATAACCAGGTGATCTTCCTCTGAAGAAGAAAGCCAATATCTAGTTAACAGAGGAAAACAGTATTTAATGCAAGGAGAGAACTAAGACTTAGACATGGAGTTATTTTCCCTTTGCAAAGTTTTTATATTTTAAATGGGTAATCCACTTCTTAATAAGTTTTCATCCTGTGGTGTTTCCTACTACTTGCTTTATTCTCTTGTGTGTGTGTGTGGTTGTTTATACTGTTAAATTTCCCATGTTTTCTTTGCATTTCCCCTAGTTTGGAGTGGATAATCCCCTGTACATGTGTGATAGTTCAGGCCAATACTGATTCATAGAGTTGGCCTGGTTACTTTGAAATTCTAGTTCCTGATTCCAAAGCTTTCACTGAAGAGCTCTGAAAAATGTTGTAGTCTTTGTCCTGGTAAAATCTCTGCATTGTTTAATGATGAATAAATAAAAGGGTTGTATAATTAAGGCTGGCCTTAGTATTTCATATGCTTAATTTTTGTTGGTTTCATTAATCAGCTTTATGTTGGCACTGGTTGACACTTTCTGTTTGTTTGTTTGTTTGTTTTGGGTAGGACTGGGGTTTGAACTCAGGGCTGTGTACTTGCAAAGTAGGCCCTCTAGGGCTTAAGCCACACCTCCAACCCCATTAATTTTTAATACATTATTCAAATGTCATCCATTCCTAAGGGCTACAAAAAAATGGATTACTTTTTTTTTAATATAGTTTAAAGGACAAAACTAATGAAATTGTTGGAAATCTTAAATCCATTATCATTTATATAGTTCAACAGCTGAAATAACCATAGAACATATGCCACTTTATGGTTGGTATCAGATGCAGCATTTTGTTGATACTCAGACTTTTGTTGATGTTTCCCATAGAGAACTGTGCTGTAGGAGCACCTTACAGATTTCTTCACTGGTAACAGCATTTATCATACTACAGTGCACTATGTTTACTTATACCTGATATTCCCCCCACACCCTTCCACTTCTAACAAACAGACCATAAGCTCTGAACACAGGAACTGCCTTACTCCTTTACATATTCACTAAAGCAAAAACCACAAGGCAGGAAAAAAGTGTGTACACTTTAGGTGGAAAATTTTTTCATTAAGAGCATATATTTGCTCTTAAGTGACTAAAATTAACACAGAACAAATGAGCTATAAGAACTATTTTCATTAAAATATCAGAAATATAAAAAGCAATTGTCTTTACTCTGATAAAATGAACAAAATGGCCTGTCCTCACTTCCAGTTCAGTATATGAATGTTCTGGTATTGATACAGAAAGCATAGGCCTTATTTGATAACAATTCAAGCATATATACTTGCTACAATCAGAACCTTGTGTTTTACTACACAACCATTGCAACTTCTGGAATCCTACATTTCCCTAATACGTATAGGGTACAATGAAAACACAAATTTCATTCATAATAATAGTTGAAGGTGATGGCTTCTTAAGGGCTTTTTCCTCTGGGGTGGTAGATTTTTCTTGGAATTATAAAATGATTTAACCAATGCCATTCCCTTCTCCTGTTTAACCTCTGCTGATTTCCTAAAACTTTGGATATAAGGTATAAACCATGTAAATCCCAGGCAAAGGTAAGACTTAAGAGATTCTGTATGAGATTGTCTTATGACTTTTCAACTACACCTCTCAAAATTCTAATGGTAGAAAAACATTTAAAAATAAAAATCCTTAAAATAATCACAGCTTGCAAAGCTTGCTTTTCCATGCTGTGAGGGAGCATTAACTAAGCATACAGAACCTAGTTTCCCATGGTGTGTTGGGCCTTTCTCTTAGGTCTGATGAGGTCTAAGGATAATTGCATGCAACAGCCTACTGTGACAGTGAAACTGAATTGCCATTTACATCTCAGTCTTTTCACAAAAGAATGTCAATCTCACTTTTATTTCATCAACTAATCTCTAGGCAGACTTTTCTGGTTGGATCTTGCTTTTCTCATCAGTTTCTTTTCAAGATTGCTCTACGGATAAGGACTGATTTGTATTAAGAAATTGACAATATATTAGAACTATTCATAGATATAATTAATATTAAGTAATGTTAACATGGATATGTGATAATTGATGCATATGTGCTTACATATCACATGTCTATTTATTTGATATCTTAACAAAACCAGGACTTTTGAAATTTTTGTGTGCTTTTAAGAACCCTAAAAAGTTTACACTTTGGCTGAAAATTTACCTTCACAAATATTCATAATTATAAATTACCTTTCTTATATGATATTAGCTATCAAATTTCTTCATAATATTTTTCTACCACAATACATAACAAGTCAGTAGAGAGCATTTACTTTTTAAAAGTGATATTTAGGATAGAATTATCAAAAGTAACAGAATAGGTGCTTATTAAATTCTGTACATAGAATACCAGAATGTTTACCAACTGCATAGGAAATGGTGTAGGTAATTATCAAGGAGTTAGAACAAAATGCATAGCGTTCTCAAGCATAATTAACACTGTATGTGTAAAGTATTTGCAGACATTTAGAACGAATCTCAGATGTATCACAAAATTAATCATTTAAAAAACATAGCTGATGGTTTTCTGTAAATAGATTAGGTAATCTCTTAGGCACTAAGAAATGGAAACAGTTTTCCCTAACTATTATGCCTCCTTTATCTAATTAGCTGTTTTAATCAGAATTTTTTTCCTGCTACATTAAAAACATTCTTCAATAATTCTGTTGTAAAGCTTATGGACCACTTTAATGTATTTGTACTTCTCTGATTGAATAATACCTCATCTTGTTGCCTGGAGTGAATATGAAGCAACCTATACCAATGTAGAAATTCGCTTATGTATTTTTGTCTGAATATTAATATAAAGGTTTCAAATTAATCTTCCTCAGAAAAAGATACATTATCTGTAACTCAGTTCCTTTGGTTTAACCATTAATTTTAATTACATTCAACATATGTCACACTAAAAAATGGTACTGTTGAGTAATAATGTAATAGGGTTACATTGACTTTGCCTAGCATTAACATAAAATCATGTTCTACATCCCAAATGTTGCCCCTTTCACATGCAACATGAATCAGGACTAAAAATATTGCCAGAGCCAAGCACCAGTGGCCCATGCCTGTAAACCTACCTTTTTGGGGGGGCTGAGATTGGAAGGATTATGTTTTGAGAGCCCAGGCACATAGTTTTTCTCTAAAATAAGCATAGTAAAATGGACTGGAGGTGTGCTCAAGCAGTAGAGTGCCTACTTTGCAAGTGTGAAGCCCTGAGTTAAAACTACAGTCCCACCAAAAATAAATAATAAATAATTTAAGAATGAAAAAAAATTGCCAGACACAAACAGGAGGTTAAATATCATCATTGCTTATTATAATATATTCCCTGTTATAGCTAAGCCTATGTCCAAAATGATTTCATCATTTTTATACTGGTCAGACATCAAAAAAAGATTGTTACCTATTTTCAACAACAGAAAAATTACATTGTTGAAACTTCTAGAATCATTATCAAGTTTATTGTCAAAATTTTGTTCTTTACAAATGTTAAATAACTTGGAAGAGATCTCAAATTGGTGGTCTACAGGCCAATTGAATCTGTAGATGGGTTTTGTGTGACCATCCCAATTTTGAACTTGAATGCACATATTCTCCCATTTGGCCGAGCTACTAATCCAGTTAGTATAGTTCTTCCATAAATCTTTTGCATTTAAAAAATATTTACCCCAGGGCTGGGGACACCCTGAATTCATACCCAAGTACTGCAAAAGCAAAAAAAAAATGTTAACCCCAAGTAACTACATTCTTTTTTAATTAAAAATGTTTATAAGACATACAAACATAATTTAAAATGTTAATGGACATATGGTTAATATATATAGTCAAACACCATTTACAATGGTTCACTATGCAACTGCCATACAACAGTCACAGTGATTTGTTGATTGATATTTCCAAAAAAAGGAATTGCGAGGAAGTTTATTTCAGCGCACCAGTTCACACTCAAAGGGTGAGTACTAGCAGCTTGAGAGAGACCCCAGCCACAGTGATTGTAAGCCTCATTCCCGGTTTAAAACCTCTCCTGACTTATATTACTCTTAGAAGAAAATCCAAAATCCTTACCATGCCCATAAAAACTCTAATTTTGATTTTCATTGTGTCAACATCACATCCTACTACAGGCCCCTCATTCAGTGCTACAAGTGCCTTAAGCATCACTTCCCAACACAAATTCAAACTCATTGTCATTGCAGTACTTGCACTTTCCCTTGTTCATCCTCCAGCCTTTCCTCAGGCCTTTGAATGGCCTGGACTTATTCTCGTCACTCAGAAAAGCTGTTCCAGCACACCAGGGAAACAAGGCAAAGCATTTGCTTAAATGTTCTCCCCATTCTCTCTTCTGGTTTATCTCCGATTTTCTTTCTTGTTTGTTTAAAAGTAGTTATCTTCTCTAAGTACCACTTAAACATTTCATGGGACTAAACCATAGTTTCCCATCCTTTCACAAAGAATATTGAATGCTCTATGCATACATGAAGCTTGATTACTGCTCTAATGAGCTACTCTTTATTAGACACAAATATATCCATACTTTTTTTTTCTTTTGCTGTTCTAGGGTTTGAACTCAGGTACTCACGCTTGTGGCAAGCACTTTACCACTTGACACACTTCACCCCCCCATGATATATTTATGTCAACTGTGCTTGATAGGTATAGATATGCAGATAAAGAATGTGTCTATATGAATTATAACTGCAAAATCAATGATCATGTCTATGAAAACTGTCGAATGCTTTAATATATATATGTATACGTATATGTATGTGTGTCACATCAATCGTGTTAGATTGCAAACCAACTTGTAGTTTTTTTTTAAGTGCTGGGGTTTGAATTTAGAGCCTTGCACTTACTAGGCAGGCACCTACCACTTGAGGCAAGTCCCTAACCATACCTTGTACTAATTTTTATTTATTTCTTTTTCTTTTTTTTTCTTCTTATACTGATTTTTGTAATACAGATAAAGATATGTTAACATGAGTGTGAGAAAAGGTTACTTTTATGAAAACTATATTGAATGTTTGGAAAGATTTTACAAACTTGAATGGTAAAAATAGGTCAGTGCTTAATTTTGTGGGGGCAAGATAATTTAAAAATCCTTGAAAACCTTTTGGATAAATATCCAAATCCTCATTCTACTTTAAACAGAGTTTGGAACTGTAAATCTTTGACAAAGCATTATGTCAAACCTTCATTTTTTTCAGGACTTTTTTAGATAATGGTGAAAAATCCCTGAGGAAATTAAATCTGAGGTTTGGTGCTGCTATAGTCATCTGCCCTCTCTCTCCATGGGAATCACTCAGGAAAGGTGCCAGCCTGACACTTTTATGGTTCTCCTTCTTCCCCTTCATCTGGTGCTAAATGCTCAAGCAAATGAGATGGACTTTAATCTCTCCCTCATCAAAGTGTGGTCCCTGGCCCAGCAGCATGGGCATTACCTG